CAACACCCCTTGCCATTCCTTCGAGCAGATTCTACTAGCAAGGTTAGTGCCTTCTTCTGGTGGGATAACTTTGACTGCAACAAAGAAACAATCGAAGGTAGCGTACACACGTGTCATGGAGTTGCTTTTCAAGAAGAGTCTGATAAAACCATAGAAAGAAATCTAGTATTTCAAGTGCCAAAATCAAAGAAAATGACTATTTCTGTAGTTCCGCTTGATTTGCCAAGAAGAAAAGTAATACCGCACGAAGAGCCAGCGTCCTTTCATGGGTCCTCTATCTACGAGTACGACAATACGGATGCTTCGCGAATACTGTTGTGTTGGAACCTTCTAAGGCGAGCTCGCATTGCTACTAGTGAATCGATTTCAAGATTCGTTGGTTGGATTAGTCTAATATTTGGGAGAATTAACTTCAAAAGAACAAGGATAACATTCTTACCTCCAATTCGCAATCCAATAACCGAGTACAGCACAGTACTTGAATGCATTGTTCAGTCCCAGAATTTAGCAAAGGCATTGAATATGAATTACACACATATAACAGTAGATGCTGGTGCAGCAGCGAAGTTCTACCACATACTATGGAACAATCCAAAGGAATTCGATTAAGTTTTCATACATTTAGGTGACTTTCACAGGATGATGGAATTTTTCTCTGTCATTGGGAAAATAGTGCAAGATGGCGGTTTCAAAGAAGTTGTGTACCAAGCAGGACTCTGTACTTCCGGAGGAATCAAAGGTGTTTTATCCGGAAAACATAATCGAAGTTGGAGGATTCATGAATGCTTTTCAGGGGCAATTGAGAGATTGTTTTGCGAAGCTCTAGTCAGTAGTTGTCCAGACAAATTGGAAACAATGATTAAGGAGCTTGTGACAGACGTGGATTGCAAAGATTTATTTCACAAAGACCATTCAGAGCGTACAAAGAAGAGTACATGAAGAAAAAGATGGAGTGTCTTCAGGGCCACCACGGAAAAACTGCACAATTCTGGATGAGCTACTTGGATCTAATGTAAAGGCTACACAAACCGCACTTCTCAGTTAACACGAATTACTTTCAACTGAGACTTCACTGCTGGAGAGAGTTAATCTCGCTCTGCTTTTCTACCAACAAGCAGAACTATGCACGTTATGGCGCATATTATTGCCTTCAGTCTGAGAATTTGGACCAGACCCACCCAGGTGCACCAGACGTTTATGAAGAGCTTGAAAACCACAGGTACTTTTTCTCCATGACATTAATATATCCAATCAATATTTCGTTATATGTACATGTGCATATTATTGAAGGTTTATGTTAACTATATTTGTTCTATCTCTTTATAGGTGGTATCTACTTACCTGATGACGTGGCCGAGAGCCTCTTGTCTGTTAAAGAGCGTGGGACTTTGTCAAGAGACACATTCTTTGAGCGATTAAACTCAGAAAGTGCCAATGAAACCCTTTTTTTCAGTCCCATAAAACGAGTGGAATGGAAGAGTTTTGCGGTAGAAGTAAGAAGCTAAAAGTCTTGACGAAAGGTAAATCTAAGGAAATAACTGTTCAGCGGGACATCCTTGGTATTCTTGTTGCCAAGTCACAACAACAGAATGCTGCAATCAACATCGACAAAGCTCTGTTATCCCCTTGCACCAGTCCCACTATCAATGGCAACATGCGATGGGATTAGAAGAAAGACCGCTAAAAGCAAGTTGTTCAATGCAGCGTTACGATCATTGATTGAAAACGACGTGCAACTTCCCGGCGATCAATATGCTCATAGAATCTATATTCTAGATATTGCAGCTACCAAACATGTTTAAAGATGTTGCTTTACGACTGTTGTCAGATCTTCAAATGCGGTATAATATCATTTACGTTGCATGTGATACGTACAAGGATTGATCAATAAAGAACAGTGAACGAAATCTTCGAGGTGATGGCAACAAGTTTGTTATTAGAAGTGCAAATGTACGTGTACCAGCTGATTTCAAGAAGTTCCTCGGTAACGGAGACAACAAAGAGCAACTTTTTGAGCTTATCGAAGAAGTGTGGGTTCAAAATAGAAACCAACTAGGACAACATGTTGTATACTTCGCTAGGGGGAACGCCTGCCTCAAGATAACAGAAAACGGTTCTTCTTGTGTAAGAGAACTAGCAACAGACCACGAAAAGGCTGATACTAAGATCACATATTTGATTCAGCAAGCATCCCACCATAACAATGGCCAACAAATAGCCTGTGTGGTACGATCAAGTTCCGGCGACATCGATATTCCCATAATTTTACTTGGAATGGAGCCAATCAGCAATGTGGAAATCTACATCGACAACGGTTCTGGAAAGACGCGAAAGCTCCTTTACTTGAACATGTGTAGTCTTACTAATCAACAAAAGAAAGCATTAGTTGGATTCCATGCATTTACCGGAAATGATTATGTGGCAAGCTTTCTGCGTAAAGGTAAGCCTTTCTGTTGGAAACAAGTGAGCAAAGATCCAGAGTTCTTGGACATTTTTTGCCGGTTGGGAATGGAAATGCATGTTCCTGAGGAGATGTTTAGTGCCATGAAAAGATTTGTATGCTTCTTGAATGGAGAGAAGAAAATCGAACACGTTAATGAGGCAAGGTCAGCTATTTTCTGGAGAAAGATGAACAAAGAGCGTAAGGTAGTTGACCTTTTTCTCTTACCACCATGTAGTGGCAGCCTACGAAAGCACGTGACCAGAGCTAACTATGTTGCCAGGCTTTGGAGAAAGGCACGGCATCCAATTATGGCATTGAAGGATCCCCAATTCCATGGTTGGCTCACGAACTTGAACATTGATTGGATCGCAGAAGCATATCCTGACGACGTTGCCGAGCTACTTGTCGAACGTGATGAGGAAAGCGATGAAGAAAGTGATGACCAAGAGGACAGCTGCAGTTCAGATGACAATGAATAATACAGCTATAGGTACTGTATGTTATTTGAATTATTTTAGAAACTACATCGAAACCAGTAGTGTTGAGTTACATTTAATGTTAAGCCTTATATCAAATTACAAGATGTTTGCATTAAAACTAGGCTATACTCTGGGGGGCGGGAGGCTTGCCATTTGAATTATACTGCATTTCTAATTCCAAAACTGTTCCAGTAGACATGTTTTTATTATTATTAATAATAATAGCTAATGTTTGATTTTGCATGAAAATGAGGCTGAATTGTGCAATATCCGGAAATAATTCTTAAAAGCAGCCTTGTCGGACTGAATAACATCCGGATTCGTGTTCTATGCCAAAAACTGGTCTAGATAGTCCTACTCCTTTAAATTACCCGCTCAGGTGATACCTACCTCACTCACCGCCTGGACTAGTTCACTCATAACAATGGTGCCAATTATCTCCGATCGCTTTTCCAACAATTTCCGACAAAATTTTTGTTATGCGCAGAAAAGATGCGCACGCGGTGACACTGCTCCTTTAATTGTTTTGTCATATTTTGTTTTGCAAATTACAGCAATTATGCCAACTTGCAAATGACTATGCTGGTAAATGACAACAATGACTGCTGCTATAATCTGGTTGTTAATTTGAACATTGAATATCAAGCTAACCCATGCTAGTTGGCATCTGGCATGCCGCATGCATGTCCAATCAGCACAAAATAACTCTTGATCCATCCCTGCATACATACATCAATATTCCCTCAGGCCTCATTGTAATAAAAATTTAGGAATTACTTACAGGTTGTTTTCTTTCTCTCTTTTGCTTCTTTAGGTCGTTATCTGCATTTTTAAAAGTATATACAAATCATAGGTCAGGATATACACATCACATTTTTCATTATAAAAAGCTCATGCAAATATGGTAAGTAATTTAAAGATAATTTTTCAGGCGGGAAAGTGCCTTTTAACCCCTTATACTAATGAAATAAATTAATTAGTTGTCACAGTAAAATTTAAAGCAAGAAAGAAACACCACTATAAGAAACTCTTATATAACCATGCATACAAACTATGTTTCTTTTGATTAGTATATCTATGGTTTCTCACCAGGATGTTCTTCAATTTCTTTCATCAAATCGGCATCGCAGACACTGGAGTCTTTTGGTATGTTCTTCTTTTCCTGTAAACCTTGAATGATGTATAGCTACATAAATCTTCAAGCTAGGAAGTAACTGAGCATATATTAATTGACCTGCTATTTGACTCTTGCATAATGCAACTGGCAAGTCATGAAGCACACAATTGATAACCAAGTACCGATCTACTTCTTTGCTTACCTTCAAACGTTTTCTAGCTTTAATTGGTCGACGGTTGTGTGTATCTATTTAAAATATATAACATTTGTTAGTATTTGTACTGTTCCTTCAGTTTGGCGTAAGCTGTTGCGTTTCCCTGCCAGTTGTTTGTGTCATTTACTTATGTTAATATTGCTGATACATACCTGGCAAAGTTAATAAATTAAATTAAATTAATATATATATATACTTGGCAAAACTATTGCAGTGAAATCAATATTTCATTTTATTTCAAAAACATTTTCAAGTAGGAACTCTCTCAATAGCAATCTTTTCGAATAAATGTAATATATAACGCAATGCTGTTATAAAACAACCCAGTCTCTTCCTAAAATTGACTGTATATACTAATTGTGTTCTGCTGGGCAAATTGACTGTGAGAATCAATTTAATCCTTTCTTTAATCAAAGATTTCAAGGACGCTTTACAATCTACCAGGCCTGGTTACGCTGCCTGTTCGCTAATCGCCTGTTTGCAGGTTAATTAACTAAACATTGCATTTCTTGCAGTATGTTGTATTCTTTGAATATCGCCTAATTTTTATGCTATCATATCTCGTAAATCTGCTGGAAAATGCAAAAAGAATGAAGATGAACATCTAGACTCGATAATTCATGAAATTAACACCATTACAGGTGCAGAGTCTTCTAAAAGTAGAAAGACTCAACCTAACCACTCAAGTAAAAATAAAGATATTGACATTGTGCTGAGAAGAGACGAATCTGGCCAGCGAATATATCCCAACCCAAGACGATTGTCGCAATCTAGTTGGGCAAGACGAGGTAAACGTGGAAGTGTCAATAAAGTTTTTGTGTTGTGGAGTTTTGTAGGTTATTTAAGCTTTGACTTTTACTGTTTTACACCACTTATTAATAGGCAGCAATATCACTGCAAACAAGGAAGGATTTGTCGAGACAGACTCTGTGAACGAAAGCAATCCAGAGTCAGGTAAACACTTTAATCACAGTTCATGTGTTATGCAGTTATATATTCTAACTGTATATTCTCATATTAGAAGGTAGATCGAACCATACAAATTTTTGATAACCTTTTCCAAGCCTGCATGTTCCATCTGCTTTGCTGGAATCCAGGCTGTAAATACGTCCAAATATTCGCCCAATAAAATGATGTATGAATTTTATTTTACAAGTATAATGGTTTTACTGTTTAGTTTTGGACTACAACTACCATAATTAGTCGTGCACTACAGTCAAATCATTATACTAAAATCAGCCTCAAATCAGTTATAAAATTAAAGTGGGTTGGGGTGGTATTGCCTTAAATAAATAATAAATAAACATATATATGGCTAATCTCATTATTACCTTAAGTTATTAAAGCATATTGGAACTAGAGAGTGAGGTTAGAAATATCATTACAAATTAGCCTATGTATAAACCTAATGTGGGTATGCGATTGTAGGATGTGGTTTAATGGGTTTTTGTGGTCTACCTTAAGATATTAATTTTCCTAGACAATATAGTTGCGATTTTATTTAAATAGACAAGCATGCAAGTTTTAAATCACTTTAATGTATAGTTTTTATAACTAAATAGTGGAATACACAAGATTGAACAAACCTGTTGATCTCTTAACTGACAAAGTAGATGAACATTCTGAAACTTTTGAGCAAGGTACAGGTAAAATTAATTTTGGATCTACCATGTTAAATAACCTAGAGTGTTCCATGTTTGAAGGTACTGTACAGTAACAGTATGTGACCTACAATAACATTTCAACTGGAATTAATTGTAAATGGTATATATATTATTTTATAGACCTTGATGCAATCATTGAACAGTGTGAGGAAGCTGTTGGGGAAATGAATGATAATACCACTGTGTGGCAAAAACAGATAAACAATCTTGAGGAAAACTGGGAGAATGCTAGAGGAGCCATATTTCACAGTGTTTTGTGTTCATTTGCCCCTCCCACTTCCTCATTACATTGCTCTAAAATTGATTGCACCAATGATGCACAATTGAGGTGTAAGCAGTGTGGTGTTTTTCAATATTTATGTGTCAACTGTGATGAAGAAGTACATCAGTGTCAGCCTCTTCATGATCGTGAAGTTTGGATTAATGGGTATTTTCAATACATTCTTCCAACTGAGTCAATAACTGATGATGGAAAGCTTGTTCCTGTTGCTATATGTCAATAATTATTTTCAATTAATAATTTTTTAATGGCAATGTACCGTGCAATATGGTTGCAAACTGTTTACAAGCAACTGTCTATAAAATAACTTAAAAGGATATGAGGTATACAGGAATCTGCACTTCCAAATTTGAATGAGAAGTTTGGAATTCAGAGGCTTTTATTTATAATGGAAGGACCTAAGGGATAAGCTGTAATTTTCTTACTATATTTAAGGTTGTGCACGTCCTCTTTGTAAGCTCTAACACCATCGAACGCAAAACAGTAGTCCCAATACGGTATAAGCTTACGTGTGAGCACAATTGAGGCGGGGAAAACAGTCCAAAACGCACGCAGAATGGGTAGATACACTTTTGCAGATGGCAACGACAATAATAGATCATAAACTCGTATACAATCTGAATATAATTTTAACCCGAAATTGACGATATGCAAATCGTGAAACGTGAACGTGAAACGTGGTTCGACTAAATAGAACAAATACATAAACCTAAATTAATATAGTGTAACTCTAAAACAAACCCTTACAATAACTAAATACAAATAAAAAACGACTTACAGATGTTTTCCCAGTAACTCAGAACTTTACTTTAGCTTGTAGATTTTGCTCTTTGCTTGCGAACCTTTAGCTCCTTACTGCCAGAATACCTCAACTATACTGCCAAGTTTCTGGTCCAACTGCATGCCTTACCCATGCGTAAATCTAGTTAACTTAATTTCCTATGGTACTTGATATAAATGATTAAGATATATGTTTTCCTGTGATTAGCACAGTTGTCAATAACGAACATAACATAGACTAGCAGTTCCAAACCTACACTCTTCTTTACCCAACATCTTGCTTGGTGTGCGGGGAATCTACTTTGAAAACATTGAACAGCTCAAAAGTTATACTCATCACATCTGAAGGTATTGTATTTTAAGTCGATCAAAAATTGAACCTAGTCATAAGTTTATTACAAAATAATGCCGTACATGTTAGTGCCAATTCTTTTTGTTATTTTTTTTTTATTTCTGTGCTGATGTTTATAGTATACAGTAGAGTGTATATTAAGATAATTAATATAATGTAATTATACATTCACAGTCAATCATTAATAGTATATGCTAAGATTAAGTAAACGGTTAAAGTTAATGGATTTTTTTCATATTTAAGGTTGTTTTGACCTCAATTGGTTTAACATACACTGTTCATCATGTCCTTGGCAATGGTCACCAATTTCGTTTGACTGTATAGTTCAAAGTGGTTTTTGGCCAGGAAGTCCTGCCAATGTAAACTACTTGTTTCATCAAGAGCTGTTCCTTCTTTGGGATGTTTTCCGGAAGCAAATGCCAGGGTCCTCACAAACTGCTTTTATAAGAAGCTTGGAAGACATGTTCGTTCCAAAAAAAGGGTGAGTGCTGTATATAATGGCAGTTATGAATGTATTAAAAATAGCCTGATCACACTAAAAGATGATAATCATACAAATTCAATGGGGTACATATAAAATATGTTGGATGGTATTTAATTAGCACTCAGTAGGGTCAGAGCATACAAATGTCTTTTTTCTTTGTATTAAAGGCAGATGTAATAACTGCAGCAACATTTAGGAAGGCCTTTGCAGAGTGGTGCTATTGTCATTTGAAATGCCCACCATGCAGTGTTGACCAAAACTCTTGTCATATTGATGGCAACCACAAGGTTTATAGATATGATAAAGTATCAAGGTACCACACCCTAATAGTTCATGTACTTGTGTGATTTATATTTTCCTAACATGACATTTGCAAGACTACATACCCCAGTGAGCACACGACATCATTTCGACGTTGATTTATGGTTGAATTTTGGTCGCGACGTCGATCAACCCAATATCAACTTCGTTTCGACGTCGATTTCACAACGTCATATCGACGTCGCAAACTGACGTTGTTTCAACGTTGTTTCGACGTCAGGTAAAACTAGAGTTTGCTGCGTTTGCCGCTTTTAAATTGTATATGAATTCACAACAATATTGGGAAAGTGTTGTGAACATCATATATGCAGTGTAATGATGTGTTTTTATCAGGTCGTTAAAGCGTCGATATATCAACCTATTCTTGATGTCGTTTTCGCGACGTTTATTCAATGTTGTTTCGACGTTATATAAAAACTTTACAGGACCAGCTTGCAAAGATTGCAATGGTAATAATATCATTCCTGATAGATAGTTAGGACGAATGTTGCGATTTTAAGAAGTTAATTTCTATGTAACAGACTATTTAAAACCATTATTAAATACCTCGGGCCTCCCCGGAGCAACATCAGTCATGCATCGTTGGTAAAGTGCGCGCAGTGCATTTTGGGAAGGTCGAATTGAGCGCGTCTATTTGAAAATTGAAACATGTTGTCGCGAACGGAATATGAAACATTGTAGCTGTATATTTCGGGATATTTTCACAGGATTTTCTCAGTTTAATGGTTGGATATCTTCCACATAAATCCAAGAAAGCAGTAAAGGTTAGTGAGAGTCAGTTTTACAGTGTGTATTGCCATGACAAAGGCCATGAATCGCGAGATATGAATACGCGATCGTGACATTGTGATTATATTTTGAAATTTAAATGTTTAAAACATTGCCCAAACTCTTTGATTCTCTTTTAAAAATGGTTACCGATACTTGCTCATTAGATTTTGTTAATTTATGTTTCAACGTTGTGTGATCGCGGGTTATTCATTCTAATGACTTTGTATATACAGTAAGATCGCCATATTTGACGCCAGAACTAATTGCATTTATAATCCAATTCAATCTGCTACTTAGTTTTGATGATTTAGACCCAATTTATGGTTCCGTATGTTAGTCGTGTGTTATTTATGTGTTGAACGTGATTCGATTTAGCTATTTGCTTTGATTTTTTGAAAATTGCGTACTATTATAAGCCCTTTGCTAGATGAATAAACTTATTTTTATTATGCTGCTCCCTTTGCCAGTTGCCTTTCTCAACTGAAGTGTCGAAGTGCTACATCATTAAGCTTAGTAAATAACTAGCGAACGGCCTAGCACAGACCTATAACAAATATATGGGGTAAGCGCACACATAGGGACCACATATGTAGTAAACAATATCATCTCAACTTTTAAGGTTGGCCAAATCGCAAGTCGCAAATTGTCATCACAAGTAAATGCCCCTCCTGTTGCTGCGTGTATAATGATGATGAAAAGATTGTTCAGAATGAAGGGAAAGATAACATACTTGAACATAATATCCAATTCCATAGTGGTCTATAGTGTCCAAAAACTTACTTTTTATTTTACAATACTGAGACTCCTCTCGCACTATTTTGAGGCGAGATTTTAAGAAAACATAATCTGAGATGAAGGAATGCCAGACAATTTTTCGAATCTGATTTCTTAATTTCAAATCAAGTATATTGTAGATTTAAGCAAGGTGATGTAAATTGAATAAAATTTGTTTGAACTATAGAGTCAGTGCAAGTATGTTTTTTATATGCATTTCAAAATCTAGCTAAAATCTTATGCACGGACGTTGTTTTAAAGGCAATAATCTAATGTCGATTCAATTTGCGTTTTCAAATCATTTTCGATGTCGTTTCGACGTTGAAATTTCATAAATAGCAGACGTCGATTCGACGTCGATTACCCGACGTCGTTTCGACGTTGAATAATCGATGTCGATTCGATTTGCGTTTTCAAACCTTTTTCAACGTCGTTTCGACGTCGCTGGGTGACGTCGATTAAACGTTGAATCGACGTCGTTGTGCTCACTGGGACATTATAAACTGGCTATATGTCACCCAGGAAATTTGAATATTTAGGGGTACAAGTCCTTCTTATTACAATGACCATCTGATTGTCGAAAATGCGAAAGTAGATTCTCACATAAGAAGCTTGAATTCCAAAATCACGAAGAAAGATATGGTAAGGTTACAGTATAAAATACTGGTCGTTGGCCGATATTTTTGTTCTTTTTTGTTCTTCACATAGGTAAATTTAGGTGGAATCTTTTTTGTTTAGAAAGAAGATAGTTCTTCTGGTGATACGCATTAGAAAGCTGCAAAAGCTGTGTCGAAAGTGAAGAAGAAGCAAGATGAAACTGGATTGGTAGTGGCTGGCTGCAGACATTCTGTTTGTCAAACCGCCTTGAATATGTTTAGAGGAGAAGTTTATGGTTATGCTCACTATCTACATTTAAACTTTGTTCATCCAAACAATGTTAGGTTCTTGTGGAAGGATGTGATATGTAAGTACTGGCCATGGGCTAAGCGAGTCACTTCAGAGCAAAACAGGATGGCATTAACTGATACAAAACCAGCCTTGTGACTCATGCATGGAAAATCGCACAGTTGGAACTGTCAGGTATTTTTACTAGGTCTAAATTGTTAAACATTTTATTATATCAGAACTAACTCCCTTATTCAATTACAAAGCTCTTATATAGGTACCTAATATAAATTAACATAAATATAATTACCATAACTAATCGCTACTACCAACACCTTCCTCTTTCTAAAAAAAAAACTAAATACACCATCCAAATAATAATGTTTTTTCCTACATTTAAAATAAATATGAGTGTTAAATTTTCAAAGAGCTAAATTGTCATTATACTAAAACCTGAATTGACTTAGGCTAACCTACATATTAACTATATAGTCATTAAACCTTTCCGGCATTCTTCGGTTTCTTCTCGAACGACGAAGGTGAACTTCTGGTTCTTTCCTGGACTCAACAACAGGTGACCTCATGGTTGCCTCTTCTTGCACAGTCAGAACTTTAGAGTCCTTTGATTGTTCAACATTCAACTCGTCATCCAACGTCACTTCATATCGATTGTGATCTTGATTATTGGGTTCCATGGTTGCTCTTCTGATCTGTCTGTGGTTTCGTCGAACAAGACCCCTCTGGGTTTTCACAATACACGATCAAGGGACCGGGTTTGAAATCACTTCACCGAACATCCAAGGTTTATGCTTGTTTGCTGGATTAGGCTTGACAAAAACTTTTTCTCCTGGTGTGAATTCCTTTAGTGGCCCTGACACTTTCTGATCGTAGTATGACTTGGACAAAACTCGTCTTCTTGCTATATCGCCCAGAACCACTTTATGGTGCACCTGTTTTGGCTGTAGCTCTTTAGATAATACTGGAATAATATCACGCAACTTCCTTGACATAAGTCTTTTCGCTGGAGAAAACGTATAATTCTGCTGTGGGGTATTCCTATATGCCAGTAGTGCCAAATAGGGATCTTCATAACGAGATTTTTTTAAAATGTTCTTTGCCACCTTTACAGCTGCTTCTGCTTTTCCATTTCCTTGATTATGGTAGGGTGATAACTTTACCATCCTAAACGCATATTCCTTGGCAAATTGAGTATACTCGTGACTGTCAAACTGCGGTCCGTTATCACTCACCCACTCCTGTGGGATACCAAATCTTGCAAAGTTCTTTTTCATAGCTCTAATCACTGTTCTTGTATACGTACTCGTTAACGAGTCTAACTCAAAGAAATCACTGTAATGATCAATCGTGACTAGATAATTCTTTCCATCAAGATGAAAAAGATCAACACTGACCTTTTGCCATGGTAGTACAGGAATCTCATGTGACTTCATAGGCTCTGCGGGTCTCTCCGCCAAATACTGGGCACAGGTGCCACATGCTTGTCATGTATCCTGAATGGCTACTTGCATTCCTGGCCAAAACATAGCCTCTTTTGCTCTTCGAATACTACTCTCCGGTCCTTGGTGTGCTCAATGGATCTTTTTTAGCATTTCAGGTCTTAACGAAGTTGGAATGATCACTTGTTGTGACTTGACTAGAACTCTGTCATAGGTTGATATTTCATCTCTGAAACACCAATATGGCTTAAGTTCCCCAGGAACTGCTGACCTATCTGGAGGCCACCCCGTCATCACCATCTGGTACAGGGCTTTTAATGTAGGATCTTTCATGGTCTCTTGTTGCACTCTGAAACGTATCTGATGTCAATGCTGTAGGTTTCCACTTCATTTCTGCTATCTCAATTCGGAAAACATGCCATCTTGAGTCCTAGCCTCTGTAGGTTTTGATAATGATGCTCTGGACAAAGTGTCAGCTAAGTACATTTCCTTGCCTTTCTTGTACTGAACTGTAAAATTGTATTGCTGTAACTTTAACATCATCCTTTGTAGTCGTCGAGGCGCTTTGCACAGAGGTTTATTGAATATTGTCTCTAACGGTTGATGATCTGTGTGGATGACAAAGTTGTTCTTTCCGAAAAGGTACTGGTGCCACTTGTTCATGCACGTTACTATTGCCAAACACTATTTTTCAATTTGGGCGTAGTTTCTCTCTGTCTAATGTGTGTGATGTGAAACATACAGGCTTTTCTTCTTGTAATAACGCCCCTCCGATTGCGTGTTCCGAGGCGTTGACTTGCAAAATAACTGGCTTCTTCGCATCATAATATTGTAAAGTAGATTGAGCAGCAATGAGTTCCTTAGCTGTTTGAAAAGCCTTCTCTTGCGTATTAGACCAAATGAACTCCGTATCTTTCTTTGTTAGTTCTCTAAGTGGAAGGACCATTTCACTCAGTTTCGGCGTAAATTTTGATAGATACTGGCACATGCCTAAGAAACGCTGTACCCCCACTTTATTGGTTGGTTTTGGCATCTCTCTGACAGCTGTAACTTTAGATGGATTCGGAGATACTCCCGTGTCTGTGAGTTTGTGCCCCATGAACGTAACTGACTTGGATTTAAACTGGATCTTCTTCTTGGACAACCGCAAACCCAATCTACTGCATTTGTCTAACAACGCAATCAAATTTTTATCATGATCTTTCTCGGCTTCTTCTTTGTTGTCTCCGCACCCAAATATGCATATATCATCTGCAATGTTGATCACACCTTTAAGACCCTCTAGGAACTTGTGTTGTCTTCGTTGGTATTCCTCCGGTCCTGAAGAAATACCAAATGGCATACGTGTGTACCGATACCGACCGTTTGGACCTTGAAATGTATGTGGTAAGAAATGAAGATGACTCTTCTCAATTGTATGAAAAGCTTCAGATACATCAACTATTGTGAAAATCTTGGCATTCGTCAATAGCGGAAGTTTTTCTTCTATAGTTGGTATCGTATAAACAGGTCTCTTGATCGCTTTGTTGATTGTCTGGCTTGGATCGATACAAATTCTGATCTTTCCATCTGGTTTTTCTTTGACAAGCATGTTGGAAAGCCAATCTGTTGGCTCGAAGACAGGTATTATCGTACCTTCATCACACAGCCTTCGCAGCTCTTCATTACCTTTATTCAGTTTCGCAAGTGGAACACGTCGCGTGGGGGCGTGTCTAGGTTGGACAGTCGGATCTTCCTCGATATGCAATGGTTCTCCTAGTGATTTGCCTCTCCCTGTCTTGAACACGTTTTCATAACGCCGTAAGACTGCTTCTTTCGTAAGTTGACCCAGAGGAGGAAGTTCATCTTGATTACTTGCGTTCTCCACGTTATGTACTTCATCAGCATATATCTTTAAATAGCCAAGAATCTGCGCATCTCGCCCAAACAATAAAGGTGGCTTTCCTGGCGGTACATCAACAACAAGGAAATCTATCATCTCTATATTTTCTTTTATCTCACAACACATGTTATTTGTCCCTTCGGCTTAATCGTCTGATTTCCATATGTTTGTACTATTGCCTTAGTCCTCGATACTTTGGATGCAGGAAACAATTTCTTTAACATATTCTCAGGAATAGTGTTACACGTCGATGCAGAGTCAATTTTCATTATTCTTACTCTGTTTCCATCTATTAGCTTTAAATGCACAAAGAACTTTTTTCCTTGTACTTTTTTATTTGCCGAATCATTTGTGATCTTCTCAGTTGCAAATAACTCCTCTTCGGAACTGTCTTGTACTTGATGGGACTGTTGTTGTCTCTCCTTATTCACAAAACCCTTCTTACAAGCCCGCGCGAAATGGCCACTTATACCACATTTATTGCATTTCTTTCTGTACGCTGGACAATGTTGTTGACGTGGCTGACGATGCGTACCTAAACACCAAAAACAAGGTGGCGTGAGCGTTCTTTGTTCTTCTTTGCGTTCTGCTAATCGACTTGATTGTTGTTTGACCCTGTTATTATAATTTACTTGCTCTTGTGATCCTCGTGCTGTTTTCATCAACTCATTCGTAAATGTTGTCGCTTCAAAAGCTTAGCCACTTCTACGACTTCTCGAAGAGTCACCTTCGCTTGTGTCCCGTCTCTATGTCTATGTCTTTTTTCGATCAATTTTACGCGCAATTGTTCAGACACAAGACCGGCAATGAATTGGTCTTGCATCAATTCGTCAGCATACTCATCGTATTCGCATTGTGCTCCTTGGTTTCGCACTTGGTTTCGAGACTCCCAAACACCACTAGACTTATTTTCTTGCTGAAATAAACGAAGGAATTTCTGTCGTTCTCCAGCGACGCCTATGCTAGCTCCATAGTATTCTTTCAACGCTTCATTAACTCAATGAGGCTTCTTCATATCTGTTTCATCGAGCCCTAAGCTGTATTTATATACCATTCTCACAGCCGGTGGCAGTGATGCTCTTAAACATGCCATCGCCTTGTCTTTATTCACCCACTTTTGCTCTGTTTCTTTAGAGCCATCATACCAGTTATTCATTGTGCAGTAATCTATGAAATCCTCAACATAGACTTCTATATCGTTCTTTTCGTCGCCAGATATCTTGAACACCGGGAACGGCAAGGTTATGTTAGCCATTTTTGCTTACGGCTATGTATTTAACAAATATTTTAGGCCTTGCCGACCACACCTGACACCATGTTAAACATTTTATTATATCAGAACTAACTCCCTTATTCAATTACAAAGCTCTTATATAGGTACCTAATATAAATTAACATAAATATAATTACAATAACTAATCACTACTACCAACAAAATTATTCGTTCTGGTCTCTTTGTTGGTTTGAAACGTTTAAAAATTTTTCTTTCAATTTGGTAAGAGTTTTTTTGGACTGAACTTCAATATAAATTTTGGGGCATGACATAATGTCATTGCATTTAACATAGGTTATTTGAGTGGAAGATGGCAAGAAGAGCCATCACAGAGCATCTATTGAGTTGGAATAAGCGAAAAATTTGTAATCTACCTAAGCTTCGCCTGAAAAAGGTTAATTAAAGTAAATATTTTCGCTTTAAATGCGAGGTGGTGTAAAACGTGCTCGTTGCATACTTGAGCTTATGCAATGTTCTTTTCAGCATTCGTTTAGTCTTTCTTTCAATGCCTTTCCGTAGACGGAAAAGAAACTCGCCGATGCGAAAACGGAACTTGCTACGTATGCACGTGAGATTAATTTATCAGACGCTGATTTGGATGCCTCAGTTGTGTCATGGAAAAGAGATGTTCAGCAGTTTGCTACTGGTACCACTAATGATTGATCGTGTTAAATTATATACTGTACCGTACGAATTGATAAAATGTATATACTTTATGGATTTCACGTCTTTAGAACAAAAAGCAGGAAAAAATGTCGACGTTGGGGATTTAGGAGAATTCTACCTTTTACATCATGTGGTACAAAATGTTCAACAGCTAAATACGTTTGTAAGTAGGAACGATGACCAGACGCGGATTTTAATTGGGGATAAAGAATTTCACCAACTTGCTGCCGATAAAACAAAGCAGTTGAATAAGAACATGGAAAGATTGCGTGTTTTGTCGTCCGAGCTTTTTAATTCCACTGTAACAGAGGAGGAGCTTCTAGCTCGGGGGAAGGTTGAACTTTCGAAAGTAACAGTGTCCAGGTTGCAGAGAAAATTGGAGATGCTGTACTTTTCCATTACGAGGCGGATGAAGGAGATTTCGTCGCTTGCTGGTTGGTGTATAACAATTTTATTGTTACTTTAATATAATATGTTTATCCTGGTCACTCACATCGTTAGGAGTTAATAACTAGGTCCGCGTACTTTATTTTATTTGGTTAAATAAAGGCTTTCTCTTTAGATTCTAGTAAAAGGAGATCATCTATGCAAGCAAAATGCTCAAGGGAAAAAACAGAAATAGCGTCCACATTAGAAGAGTTAAACTCAGTTAACAGCCTTCTGAAACTGCCTGCGACAAGTGCTGAGGCAATTCTTGCGGGAGATTTTCTTTGGTCGTTTAGTGAGGAACCAGCAACTAGGAAAAGTATAGCGAATTTACTAGTGTATCATGGCTACATTTTTATCGAAAGAATATAATTTTTTCTTTGTTTCTTAATCTCTATATAAATTGATTTAGACTTTTTGCTATACTATAGGCCTTCCTGTACAATACAAAGCACAAGTAGTAGAAAAGTTCATGCTGGTTCAAAGGCTAAAAGAAGAAGAGGACCAACGAAGAAAAGAAATGAAGAACTTCCTTGTGTTCTATTTAAAGAATATTTTGGACAACCTTCATAAAAAAAAAGCAGACATTAATGAGCGGATAGGTATAAGTATCAGATATTTTCCGAACTTTTGCAATAGCTGTTATTGTATAAAGTCTTGACAATAAACTTGCTAGAAATTGCTAGAAATCTATTTTTGATTCCTTCATTGATTTTTTTTCCAATGGTCTTTGCAAAGCACTGTTTTCACCTGAATTTGTATTTTTAGCTTTTATTCATGACGTCAATGAACCTGATGACAAATATCAAAATGAAAATGAGGTATAACAATGTATTAATATGTGTGCACCATAATGGCATGTAGTCTTCTGTGGTTTAGTGTTAGTCTCCAATTTTTTTCATATTTTACATTTTCTGTTGTTGTAGAACTTATTGGGTGATAGGAAGTGTTATTCCTTGCGTTGCGAAAGAATCGAGACATTGCAGGGTCAACTTGCTATTACTAACAAAGGAATAGCTTTTGCCAAAAGCCAGATTGCGGTTGGTTTGAAATATTTTCGACATCTAGATACTTCTCTGGCATGCCTGGAAGAAATTGATGATAAATGCGATGATGATGATGATGAATATTACAATGAAAGTGAAGAAGATTGGTCAAGTGACGACAATAATGAATTAGAATAATTTTAGTTTTAAAGAGTTTTTGAAATTGAAGTTCAGATACCTTATTCATAATATGATATATTATACGAAAAATAAATAGTAATAAAACTCTAAATTTGTACAACATCTATATATGACAATTCCTTTTTCTCTTAGAAGAATTAAAAGCATTTCATTTTTGCGATTTTCTTAGTTGCCAAAGCTCTTGCATTTATTAGCCAAAGCGATGTATAAAAGAACTTGGGGGTGTTCAGATCAGGATCATGATCCAGATCTTAACAGACCGACAAGAAAAAGTTTCTATATAGACTCCAACCAAATGCCAAACTGTGTCTGGTAGAACGAAAAGTCAAGCTGTCTGTTTGACTTTCCAGTTGGTTCAATTCCAACTCGCAGTTCTGTAATTAAGCGTAATTTAATATTAGGAATGCAGTATCGTTGTTTTGTGATGATGACTTAAATCAGTAGAACATTTTTTTAAAAAAATTACAGACTTTACGTGCAGTCCAGTCACTTGTAAGAAAGATTTTTAGGCGTCCATCAATTGATAGTCTCGCAATATACTCCTTCATAAACCTAATACACTTTACACTTAATGTATGCTCCGGAGGGAAATAGCGAGTTTTGTTTTCCCAAGAGTCTGAATTAATGTCAAGGGAAACATTTATGACTCGAGGGAAAACAAAACTCACTATTTCCCGAGGTGTAGCGAACATTAAGTGTTTTGTTATATAGGAACAAAAACATACATGTTACACAACAATTTCATTTCAAAATGTTATGACAATATGCGGGCAACAATTTTTCACTTGTTTGGGAAACATTACATTTATTTAAAGTCATGTGACTACGAATGAACCAATCACATTTAAAGTATACAGCACCTATATAACAATTGTTTTTGTATATATCTGTTATATGTATTGCATTTCGTCCTTCCTTGTGACGAGCGAAAGGAACCTGGCATAAACCTGGCAAAAGTATATAGTTAATGAGCTGTAGTGTACTTCTGAAAGGTTTGCTGAGAAATATCGGATAAACAAGCACATTAGTTTGTAGTACAATTTTCGTATACCGTATATTTTGAAAGTTGCTATGACCTTCAAACGAGTTTACCTACATAATAAATTCAGATTCCGAAAAAGGCAGCAGCAAGATCGTTTCATTAAAATTTTAGTAAATTTTGAAATTAAAAATTTGAAGAAATTCCGCAATAGAAATAAGGCTAAACTTCAAATGCAGAGATTTTAGAAATATTTCATTCTTCATTGATCATTTTTATGGCCTAAGGAAATAGAACATGTCTTGCATGAAATAAGAATCATAGAGTCTCAAAAGTTTATAGTTTCTCAAAATAATAAAAAGTTTTCGAAAAAACGTTTCTCAACAAAATTTTCTTGTCAAGTATTCCTTAGGAAACTTTTTCTAGATTTGATTATTAGCCTTCAGGATGACCTTTTTGGGGTACTTTCAATTTTCTCAAATGTGTTTAAAAAATAATACCAACATGAAAAACATTTTTTTTTTAAATAAACAGACCATTTGAAGTAACTATAAAATTTCGCTTTAATGTTCACTTTGCGATATATAAAGAAAGTACTAAAAACTCAATTACGAAAGCAACACATGATATTTTTTATTGGAAGGAACATATAGCATTTTGAAGCGGCATGTTTTTAACACCCGAATCACCTCGACTTTTTCAAATTTTTATTTCTTTTGATCCTTTTGGATTGGCTATGGACGTGAGGATCCTTATATATGTATGTCCTATTTGTTTTTAATTTTGGCGATGTGAAATAATGATCTTTCTATATGATAAAAGTAACACGAAAATTTCAAATTAATCATTGCAATCCATAATATAGCTTGATACCGCACGTTTTTGTTGAACACCCGAATCACCTTTTTTTTTGTTAAAAGGTGAAACTTTAATCACTAATTATGCACTCACTATGGTATTACCTATATAGTTTGTAATACCAATATTGGCAAGTTAACATAGTTGCCAAGTCTCACGGATTAGGCGTGAGACTCACATAGAGATAGTCTGAGATCTCACAGATTTCGTCTATTGTTGTTAGGGTATTGTCCTTAAAAGTTAAGAAGTTAATAATAAAATTTTAAATCAGTCCGTACACATAGTCAAATTAAAATTAGTCAAAGTTCAAATAAAAAATTTCTTGTTACAAATTGTTTTTTCGAAAGAATATCAAATTTCGGGAAACTTCGGGAAAATTACATTAATTTCATATGTTTGCGGGATATAGGGACTAAATTGTCTTCAGCGAACAAAAGTAAAAAATGAGGTAATCATGGTATTATGTAAGAAAATTTTAGATATTCACGAGAAATTGCTGGCATATTGTTGTAAAACAGTCTTCATTAAACTCCTATGTCTATATGCATGGTTGTAATACAAAAGTAACCAAATTCTTCCTTTTGCTAAAGTAACGAAAAATAATCAAAAATATCCTTTTTCCTCATTCTTTTTAACCTAAAACGTTATTTTGGTAAATAAATTTTTTAATAATTATTATAATAACAACAATAATAGAATTCAATTATAGAACTGTGAGTTGGAATTGAACCAACTGGAAAGTCACTCATGCAGATAGCTGACATTTCCTTCAACCATGCAGTTCATTTTAGTTTTATTTTCATTTTGTTTATCGATATAAAAAGTTAAGATTATGTATAGAAGCAGTAAGTAGCATAGACGATAAATATAAAAAATTGTTGTTTTGAAATATAAAAAAAATTGTTATATTGAAATTGTTGTTTCATAGCTTGTTTTTGTTTTATGGAGTTTTCGCAAATTATCTGCCGAAACAAAGTTGAACAGGAATTTCAACATCGCTTATTCAGGAACTTATACATTAAACATAAACTATATAAATAAAAACCATGTCATATGGTTTATGTAATAATTTAAAACAGGAGTAGCATTGTTCTATAATATATAGAATGAAAAAACACAATGTATGTGAATGTAGCATTGTTCTATAATATATAGAATGAAAAAACACAATATATATATATATATATATATGTATGTGTATGTGTATGTGTATGTGTATGTGTATGTGTATGTGTATGTGTATGTGTATGTGTATGTGTATGTGTATGTATGTGTATGTGTATGTGTATATGATTATATATATATATATAATATATGTATATTATATATAATATATATATTATATATATATATATATATATATATATATATATGTATGTATACAAACCCTCCTCATAAGAAGCTCAAAAGACTGGTGGTGCTTGTATGTTTAGGGAGTGAAATGTTACAGAGGCGCTTCGGGAAAACTTCACCACAGTTTGAACAACGCTTACAAGCATTGCCCACCTCAGCTGAACAACTCTGGCACACTTTCTTGCGAGATGTAGTCTAAAAAACACATACGATCAATGATGCTTAAAATGACAATTTTAATGTGAGCATAAATAGAAATTACCTAAGTTCGGGAGAAAAGTGCTGACTAGAATCAGGAATGAATAAAATGAATGGGTGGAAGACATGGTTGCAATGTAACACAAAGTAAAGGCCAATTTGCACTGTCAATGTTTCTGTGATCAATTAGCCTCTGTGAGAAGTCTGTGTTCACAGAATCACAGAGCTTCAAAGCAACTGCCCTCTTTGAAGGTGTTCACATTGTCAAATACATGGATCAAAGTGTACTTTGATCACAGAAACTGTGCTTACCTGCAGAAACTGTGATAGTGCAAGCCAGCCTTAAGCAGGGCCGTAGCTAGAAGCTTAATTGGGGGGTGTATATTCATAAATTCTTGTTATGCCCAACTGATTTCTTTTGTACGCTATTGTTTCTGGGGTAGATAAACATGAATATATAAATATACGCCCTCCAGTTAAGCGGTCTAGCTACGGCCCTGGCCTTAAGTCAATGATCAGCTTTGTTCTCAGGCTGTCAACTTCTGTCAGATATGTACAAGTATTTACAGTGACTAATGATACACACCAATCATGAAGATAATAACAAGATAATAAAAATATTACTATATTTACTGCTTGATCACATATCCCTCATATTGTTAAAAACATACTGCATCACATTAGGGTATATTATTTTGATATATAAAAATGAGATATTAAAACTTTTCCACACAACAAAATATTTTGAATCTACTAAAACGTGACAACATACAAACTTTTCTGATGTGGCACTCACAACTTGTTTTTCATCATCTAGTAATAATATTGAGGAAAAACAAAGGCAATTAAAAGACTGGGTCATTGTAAATTAAGAAGTATTATTTACAACATAAGCAGTCACTGGATAGGCACAAAATGGGATATTATAGTCATGTACACTACACGAATGAGAATGTTGACTGTAATTTATACCCTATTAGATAAGTACTCTTCATCAGATTATCAGGCTTATTACTGCTGGTACTCATGTGTATGAAATCAAATCACTCCCTATACATGTAGTTTGTAACATTTACAGAGGTATTAATGTGATCCAAATTCCCATAAATTTGCCAAAATAATAGTTTATATGTGTAAGTTCATTAATTGCTTATGAATTTCACAATGTCATTTAGATATAGACTACATTACATTATATACAGGGTACAAAATCTCCTTGGGAGAGAACAGATGGGAACATTTACAAATTAAATATTGATCAGTAAGATTTCATTATGGATTATCAACAAAATATTTTGCTTCTTTCTGGCTAACATTGTCATAAGTACTAAACTAGTAGATACTAGTAACAATACCTGTATGCTTATTAAATCATAACTAAATCAGAATAGGTGATTATTCAAGGAAGTAAACTCATGCAGTGAAATTTTGTCATGCTTACATAAAAAATTTGAGTTGAAATGTAAGCCTATTTATTAATGTCGTGAAGCAAATATCACATCACTAAAAGGGTTAACCATTGGAGCAGCTTTAAATCACTTTAAAAAATACAATTATATTTCACAGGTTGGTTAATGCTTTTTGATTGATAAATTCTTCTAAAATAATTAAGCATTTATGCAGTTATAAAATATGCTATACACTATGGTGCAAATGCCTATATAGACTATAAATAAGTTCCTCATGCAGCTGTGCAGAAGAAAAATTTAAAATAGTTATGAGAATAATACAATGACATAATAATAATAGTTAACACAAAAATTATTTATCAAGCATTCATGCCAGAAATGACTGTCTTGTGTGTTGATAGGTGAGCTTTGGATACATGTAAATTAGTTAACTCACTTAACTGTCAAAGAAAAAGTACCATACAGTTTAAATTGTTTGCATTATGCCCCTCCACATGTGTAAGAAGCATACTGTACAACCATAGGTTGCCCAGAAATCTGTTTGTTGTACTTTGTACACAGTCTTCGACTACATTGTTTACGCGCGCGGTCAGCTTCTACTGTCTGTACTAATTACTGCATTATATATCGATATCATAATATAATACATATCAATTAATATATAATACAGTAATTAGTACAGGCAGTAAAAGTGTAAACAATGTAGTCGAAGACTGAGTACAAACAGATTTCTGGGCGACCTATGGTACAACTGTACAGTGCATAAAATGTTTAAGTCATAAAATTTTTAAATAACTTTTTTTTTCAAATATTCAGAGATGTCTTCTCATTAGTTTAATTTGTCTTACAGTATTAAATTGAGGCCCACAATTAGGCCTCACACATTACACATATATATTTACAATAATACATTTGCTTAATAATGGCAAACGAAGTTGTCGTGACCGGCTAATAAGGTACCTTGTGAACAGGGCCTAAAATGTGAAATAAATTTACTATGTCTTTAATATTTTATATATAAAATGGCATTTTTGGGGGGCTGAGCAAAATGTAGCCCCCCAAAAATGCCACATTTTCATAATCTCAGAGCGATTTTATACGAATATATAGACATAATGCTTTTATCCCAAGGAATCAATATCATTTACAACTAGTCCCACATACCTTTGTCATTGCCTATTTGCATGTTTAATATATGATTTTCAAACACAGACGCTTCGATATGCCAATTTTACTGAAATATGGCTGCAGAGAACGAGCAAAATTGCAAAATATTTGTGTGAAATAAATCCAGCGTAACCAGGCCTGGTACATTGTAAAGTGTCCTTGAAATTGATTCTCACAGTCAATTTGCCCAGCAGAACACAATTAGTATATACAGTCAATTCTAGGAAGAGACTGGGTTGTATAAAATCTGGTAACAAATTTTGTGTGAGTATCATATATGAATATATTCATGTATTATATATTACTTTAAGTGTTATTCTTTCAGGAATAAGCAGGAGATACTTTAATAAGGCCCCAGTTACACGATACCGGATTACTAGAGTACCGGATTACTTTCCATATCAGATAGGCGTTGCAGTTACACGAGGATGTATCAATCCGGTACGCTCCACGGAATAAAAATCACTCCGCTCTGGAGGTGACATGAAAAATGATCCGGTACATTTCTGTTTCCGTGTAATCGCTCTAATCCGGTATATAATATGTTTGGCGGGAAAAATAAATGGACGTCAAACTCTTGCAAAGGTTGCTGTTTTCGTTGATAATTACACTTTCTGGCTTATTCAGTTAATTGTATATTGTTTCATATCAATACACTTCGATATTTTTCAAGAAAAAGACGACAACTTCAACAATGTGTGTTAGACAATAATTACGGTACAGTTTCGTTACGAAAAATTAGGAAACCGAGGAAATTCTGGACGTCTCCAGGTCGATGTAAAAGATGGTGGGAAAACTTACGGGATGGTTACAGCCAGGCAGAAGAATGGAAAGGAAATTTTGAGAATGTCAAGAGAGACTTTTTACAAGTTGTGTGATGAACTCCGTCCATATGTCACAAAAAAAGCAACCAATATGAGAGCACCGGTATCAGTTGAAACGCAAGTTGCAGTCACCTTATATTACTTGTCGGACAGTGGTCGAATGAGGAAAACAGCAAATGCTTTTGGGATCGCAAGTTGCACTGTTTCTCAAATAGTACGGCAGGCAACAAGGGCGATATCAACAAAGCTATCTCATAAGTACATAAAGGTTCCCAAAACGGAAGAAGAAGTCAATAAATTAGTCGCAAGTTTTTATTCTGCTTGAGGTTTCCCCCAGTGCATAGGTGCCATAGATGGGACGCATATCCCAATAAAGAAACCGAAAAATAACGCTGTTGACTATGTTAACAGAAAAGGCTTCTACAGTTTAAATGTGCAAGCATGTGTTGATGCAAATTGCCTTTTCTTTGAGGTTAACATTAAATGGCCTTATTACCTTATCTGATGAAAGAATTTGCAAAAGGTGGAAGTACAGTGCAAGAGCAGTTCTTTGGCTATAGACTATCATCAGCTAGAATGATAATCGAATGCGCATTTGGGCGACTTAAGGCACGTTTTGGTATCCTTTCGAAAGCAATGGATCTCAGCATGGATAATATTCCTTCCACTATTCTATCCTGTTTCACTCTTCACAATTTTTGTGAGGTAAATGGCGAAAGTATTCAAGATGACTTACAAAGTCAAGCTATGCAGTATGACAGGGATTTCCAACCCCAAAGAGAGCATTACACAGTACCTATACATAACAATGCACAAGGTGGCAAGAAAAATCGTAAATTATTCATGATGTTTCTTGAGTGAAAAGCTTGTACAGAGTCATTATTGGAACTCTTAGTAGACATGTCATGTGAATGACATCTTTTTCACAAATTTGTTCTGATAAAATTTTTAAATGTTTCTATGTCAATGAAATATAATAAATCATGCGAATGTTGTACAGAAATTAATTATCATGACATCTTTTTCAAAAATTTGTTGTAATATTTTTAAATTTTTAATGTTAATGAAATATAATAAATCATGTGAATGTTGTAAAAAAATTTAATTTTCAAACAAATTAAAATACACTGAGATGAACTTTTAAAAATGGAAATTTGTTTTAACTTTGTAACAACATATTTTACATTATTACACACTCTTTACATTTCCAATCAACTAGTCAGGAACAACAGAAATAAAGCAAAAATTACATGATAACAAAGCACAAAGTGAAAAAACCAACGTACTCTGATAGTTTGTTCTACTTTGGAATGTCCTTAGGTGCCACTGGAATATTAGAGACCATATTTGATTGCTGCTGTTGCATGTCTCGCTGAAGTACAAAGGGAAAGACCTGTTGCTGATTTGCTTGCATTTGGATTATTGTATTCATCATTTGTAGACATCCTTGCATTGCACCAGCCATGGTTTCCATAGTTTTGGACATTTTTACTGCATGGGCAAGGTATTCCTTATCAGTTAATTCAGACTGCTCTGCAACTTTTCTTTTCAGCACCAAATCTTCTTTCATG